CCGCGGACCGCGGGGAGCCGCTCGCATGGACCGCCGCGCCCGGGGCCGCTCAGGAGGCGGCGGCGGCCGCGCGGGCCGCGTCCCGGCCGCCGGGCTGCGGGCGGAGCGCGCGGGGCCTGGGCGCCGAGCCCGGAGTCATCCCCGGCGCGGGCCGCGGGCGCAGCGGTGGGCGCTGGGAGGGCCGGCCCGCGGCCCGCGCTCCATGCTGCCGCCTCCCGCCGCCGCGCTGCTGCTGGCGGGCGCTCCTCCGGCGCCGCTGCGGGCGCTGCCCCGCGCCTTCCTCCGCGAGCCGAGAGTCTCCGAGCGCAACTTTCTCTCCCCCCTCTTCTCGCGGTTCGGGGGTCGCGGCGAGTGTTTTCAATGCGCGGGTCGCAGTTTTCTCATGGAGCGCCAGCGAGGCCGATCCAGGCTGTCCTTTTCCTCCTGCACTTAGTCTAAGAGGAAGAAAGCAAACAAGACAGAGGAGTGAAGCCCCCTTACACACACGCGCCAGGGGGAGATGTCAGGCGCTGCTCCACCTTCCAAACAGTCACAGATCAAACAGTGTCACCCGGCCGGAGCGCCACTTGGTGCCACTTGGCTTTGCCGCCAGAATCGCCGCTTCTTCCAATGCGAAATCTAATACAAACACATTTTGATCATGGATTTTTGGCCGGTCTTGATCTTCCAACAGAAAAAAAAAAAAGAAAGAAAGAAAAATACACAAAAGCCCCCCACTCAAAAAAAAAAAAAAAAAGGCAACAACAACCCAGAGAGTGTGTGCAAAGGGGCGCAGAGCCGACATTCACTAGGTGGGCGAGATGAGCGTGGACTGTCCCCCCCCCAAACTCCTGGGAGAGAGGGAGATGCACTCTCGCTCTCTCCTCTTTTCAGTGAAATATAACACACATTCCGATCGCAGAGCTTTCAGACAGTCTCAACTGATAGACAGACACATCGAGCTGCTTTTCCTGCTTCAGTTTTTACTCCTCCTCCTCTCGCCAACGTCACCCTGACAATTACAAATAGGTCTCTCACAAACCATACCTGTCAATCTTTTTAATTGCTTTGTTTTCTTTTTTTCCTGGAGCTAAACAATATGACACAAAAAAGGAAATCTTAATACAGCACAACATAAAAGATTGTAGTTTGGGGAAAGACACAGGGGTTTGTTATTGTAATCCACTGGCTGATACTGGGTAAAACCATGTGTTCTAAAGCCAAGTTAAGTAGACACTGGCAGATTTTTAAACCAGTTAGTACCCCCCCACACACACCTTGTACATTCATACCACGTACCCACATAGACATAAACTACCCTTGGATGAAAAATGTCCTACATTTAAGATAAAAATACCTGTGTCACCTTGGCAATCTTAGTTTGGGAGTTAAATTTGCTTGGGGATGGGTGGCTTTTATATTTTAGTAATTCATGGGTAAGTGCAAAGCAAGAGGTTTTTAAAATTGAAATGTATACTTTTAATAAAAAATTCAAGATGGACTTAGCTCATCACACGAAAATGTGGAAAATATTTAATTTGGTCCCTCTATGAAAAGTGAATTGATTATTTGGTCAATACAGACAATTAGGGAGAAAATTGACACACTGCTACTGCAGCTCTCTCTAGCTAGGTTATAAAATGAGGTCTTCATACATCATTGCAACGTCTCCAATTCAATTAAGTCCTTCAGCATTCCCACCTAGAAGTTTAAAATGTTTATGTGCTCTGGGAATTTGGCCCTCTGGTTTCCAACACGTGTGTTCTCTCCCAATGGGTAACCTGTATCTGTCTTGTAGAGAGGCTACTTTAAAAATTCATGGAAAAACACGAAATCTAGGCCAAAATAAGTAAAATGTCTTAGTTCATACAACTTATATGGGGCAAACTGAGGGGCAGAGATGCGAGCAAGGCGTTTGGGGGACAGGGGACCAGGAGCCTGGGGCTCAGAGGGGGCACTGAGCGCCTCCTCCCCGCCCCCCCGTTCGGTGCTTGAATGCGCTCACCAGCAGCCAGGGATCCCCACGCGGCTCAGGGACCCGGCCGTGCCCCGCCGCCCCGGCCGCGCTCGGGGTTGATTCGTACCACCTTGCAAGGAAGTGAACGCTTCGCACGGGAAGGGGAGGCGCCTGTGCCGGCCACCGGCCGGCGCGCCTCCGAGAATGCCCGGAGCTGCTGCCGGCTCCCGGCCGCGGTGAACGTGGGACACACGGGACCCCTCGGCGCCCCCCTCACCCTTCAGAGTAGTCAAATCCGGCTTTTAGAGCGTGGAGAGGGTGGGGATATCCGGTGCCTCCCCGGCGCCGGAGGAAGGGGGAGGGCGGAGAGGCTCCCTGGCCAGTCTGCGCCGATCAGATTCAAACCAAAACAAAAAGATTAAAGGAGCAGCTACCGGGGCGGCTGCGATCCTCCGGCCAGGACCCCGGGGGTGGCGCGTCCGGGAACGCCGGGGGCTGCGAGGACTCCGGGAGCTGCGCGCCTGAGGGGGAGCGGGCGCCCAGCGCGGAGGGGAAGGGGGGGAGCCGAGGGGAGGGCGAGGGCCGGAGGAGGGGCGGACCCACCGGCTCCGCCCGCGCCAAGCCGAACTCAGCTGCCCGGGCTGGTCGCGACCTTGGCCTGCAGCGGCTCAGAAAGCCGGCGGAGGCGCGGACCATGCTGCGGCTGGCGCCCGCCGCGGCCCGAACTATCGTGGACATGTCGTATTCCCGCCACTTCCTGGACTTCCAGGGCTCCGCCATCCCCCGCGCCATGCAGAAGCTGGTGGTGACTCGGCTGAGCCCCAACTTCCGCGAGGCCGTCACCCTGCGCCGGGACTGCCCGGTGCCACTCCCCGGGGACGGAGACCTCCTCGTTCGAAACCGGTGAGCCCGGCGCGCGCCCTCGCCCCGGCCCCGCCTCTCCCGGGCCGTCCCGTTCGCCTGCGTCCCCACACCCCGGCGCGCGGTGCACAGCCTGACTTTGCGAGATTCTGGGAAGTTGAACCCGCCGCCATCTGGCGAAGGCGAATGTAATGTGACTGTTGCTGTTGTGAATATCCGATGCCGCCGAACGTCCTCATAACTGGGGGTTATTTTAATTTGGGATTCCCCTCCCCTCCCCCAGTCCTCCCTCCTCCCCCTCCCGCCCCCGAAATAAAACCGAGGGGACCCAGAAGCCGAGGCTTCCCGCCTGGCCCACCCGCGCGCACCCAGGGCTCCTGCGTTCACATAGTCTTTAGGGTGGAGCAGGGACAGCCTGGACCCAAGCTGCGACCTTTAGGTAACGTGCTTTGAAGAAAGGAGGCCGGGGACCAGGCTGGTCTTCCTGTCCGCTCCAGGTTGGCAGTAGCCGCGCAATGGCAGAGCCTGTCTTTGAGTGTGTTGGTGTGCACCTCGCTGGTGTCGTCTGCGTGTTGTCAGTGATGTGTGACTGCTGTCCGTGCCCCGGAGTGTAACGACAGGTCAGGCGTGTGGCGCGCGTCCTCGGCGTCTGGGGCGGGGGCATGGCTGCGTTTGCCCGCTCGTTCTGTAGACCTTCGGGGACGCTGGGGTTCTTGCCTGACCTCTGTCTTTTCCTCCCCTACACTCCGCACCTTAATGTGTTTCCGCCTCACTAATCTTGGGTAACTGGTGAGGCAACAGGAAGGAACGAGATCTTACTCCGTGGAGCCAGGCCCTCGGGTCTCTCCGGGTGGGTCCACTCCCCGCGGACTTGCAGGCGGGGCGTGCCTGGTGGCTCCATCCCCTTCGCAAGAGCAGGACTTCTCCGCCTGCTCGGGCCAGTCCGAGGGGTTACAGTGTTGCATGTATCAGGTTGAGTAATACTCCGAAGGGAGGAGAAAGTTCTGATCGTAACTGTGTTGTAAATTGTGTGCTAGCAAGTACTTTCAGACCCCTGCAAGGAGTAGCTGGATGCAACGTTTAATGAGTCCATTTTGGAGATTCATATCAGCCTTCCAAATAATATTGCAAGACTGAAGAATTCTGCTCTCAACGTAAAACTTTTGGAAACGTGTTGGAAATGTAAAAATTTAGTGAACCAAGGATGGGATTGAGTAGAGATGGGATGTGTGTGTCCTTTAAAAAGTTTGCTACCGTGGAAACAGCTTCAGAGGATTTTCTTCATTATGGGATGCAATGCTAGGGCTGTTCAGGACATGGGTCCCGCCAAGATAAAAAGGAGGGCTTGTGTGTGTTCGGAAATACAAAACACACCAGTGACTTGCTGGAAGCTGAGAGGAGCCCCAGGCTGAAAAGGCAAAAAGTTTCAGATAGGCTTTTGTTTCCTTTTTCTGATGAAGTACACTATTGATTGATCAGTGATATAAACACACACAGCTGCTTGAGTAAAACCCCTTTTAGAAAGGGGTTATGGGATGGGAGGGGGCCACTGAGCTTGGCGGAGGTGGGGGGTGGTTAGAGCACTACTGGCGGCAACTTGAGGTTGGGACCACCCTCCAGCCCCGCATTGGTGCTCTCCTGGCCTCTCCGCCAAGAGTGTACATCAACTTCTAGGATGCCCCCCTCCTGAGACTCCTCTCCCTTCACACTCACAGTCCCCCCTCACTGCCCCCTTCCCCACTGGGTGTCAGGGCACCCCTGGAGCTGCATCACTAGCTTGAGTCTTGGACTCCAGGTCAGTGCTCTGGACCACCGACTCTCACGTTTGGAGCTCATCGGTTTGGGTTGCTTTAAGATCCATACCTGTTCCCCTCCACCTATGCCAAGAATCTCTTTAATATAAATAGTATATTGATATGTACAACTTGACCTCTAACTTTTACCTGGAAGCCCACAACAGAAAGAAAATGGAGTCAGTTTTCTGCCTGTTGGCAGGGGGCAGAACCTCTGCTTCCCCTCTCCCCTACTCTGCTGGCAAACCTGCTCCTATCCCCCAATTGTAGGAAGATCCTTTATTCTTGCACACAAGGTCAGCGGAGGTGGCATTTTACGGTCTCTCTCTCTCTCTCTCTCTCTCTCTCTCTCTCTTTAAGAATAGAGGCTTAATAATTCACTGAAGGTTAGTTCATCTTAATTCTAGGCCAAATCTCCCCAGAACAGTGTTAATTACGTGAAAATTTTATGCATGCGCTTCTCCTTTTTATCATGATAAAACTGCTCTGGAATGAATAGATTAATCCCAAATTTACTTATTTGGAAAGGTGTGTGGAGGTCTGACTTTTTCTTTCACTTGGACCACTTACACATCTCATAACATTTCAACAGAAAATACAGATTCTCTCTTCGCAGGGAGGGAAGTGCTTTTGAGCTCCACAACCATTAGAATAATCAAGTTCACCATTTAGGAAAGGTGTGAGAAGGGTACATAAACTCCCCCATAGACCTACAATTGATGTTCCTTTCTACAGTTCTCACCTTCCTGTTTCATACATCGGAGGACAACTTCAATGTCCTGTCCATTACCGGATCTCAGAAAAGGAAAAGACCTCCGGTGAAGTCAGTTTGAGCGCTATTTTTAGCATTTTTAGTACCATAATGACACATTATTTCGTTTCTAAATATTTCTAACGATTTTCTGCTCCTGTGTAAGAAAATGGGGCTGAGTTTGCGGGGAGGGAAAAGAGAAGGGGGAGGGGATGGGGAAGGCGTTTTTTGATAAAGGGTTTGTTGCTCACGGGAGGGGAACAGTAGTATTTCTTCGGATTCTCCAGGCCAAATTGTTTTTCTTTTTCTTTCTTTCTTTTTTTTTTCTTCTTGTTATTTATTTATTTTTAAAATAAGTAGCTGGTTTGGACGACTTTGTCTCCCAGTATTGAAGGCATTTGCTTCGGACTAGAGTCTTCGCCTTGGGTTTTGTTCAGAAGCGTCCCGCTCTGCCCCGAAGGACTGCCCTGTTTCACAATAAACATGACGAAGGGGCTCAGCACTTTTTAATATAAATAAACGGGCGACTCTAGAAGGGTCTATATTGGGGGAAAGCCCACCTTGTCCTGAGGTTTCTCGACATTATTCTTTTGAGTGGATCCTGCCGTCGGGTCGCTGGAACCCTCATTAAAAGCACATATTTTAAATTAAAGGGGCACAAGCGAGCCTCCCAGCGCGCGCATCCTTCCCAGTGGTCTTTCCCCTCTCGCTCCCCCTTCCTGTCCCCTGCTCCCGACCCGGGCCCCCCTGTTCCATGGCGCGGCTGCTCTTGAACTTGCTTCTGGTGGAGTGGAGCTCAAGGGCTCCGGACCCCCCAGGCAGCTCTTCCCAAACCCCAGATAAGGACCTAGGCGCATCCGGGCCCTGGCGGGTCCCCACCACCCTAGGAGGCCTCGCAGAGTCAAAACAGGGGTCTGGGGAAAGGCGGGGGCCACGCCAGAGGCCGGGAGACACTGGAGAGGGCGAGGTTTGGGGAATCTAGATTCGCCACCAGCCCGAGATTCCTTCACCGCTATGCAGGCGATTTAGAAGAAGACAGGGCAGTTGGGAGGGGGGGGGGGTCACGAAATATGGGAGTGTCTAGGAAGCCAAGGTCAAGGTCCAGCCTCTAGCGGGTCTCTGTCCACGGGCTTTGCGCCTAGCCACGCAGGGTGCTCAGGGCTACCCCAGAACTTGACCTGCCCTGGGCTGGAGCGCCATGGTGAGCGCGCCCGCAGGACCCCTGCCTAGCCCCGGAGGCCCGCCGAGGTCCCGGGTGCGGACCTGGGCCACGGCCCCTCACCCCAGCGCTGGCTGCACTGCCCCAGCCGCTCCTGGAGTGGGAGACAGTGATCCTGCCTCTAGTTGATGGCGGTGGAGAAGCCACGCGGAACCAGAGGGTCGGGCAGTCAGAGGCGGCCCTTAAGTCCAAGGGAGGCTGCCGGGGAGCACTGACTGCCGGCACCCAGCAGGCAGACCCTGGCGCACCAGGGGGCTTCCGGGGAGACGGAGACAGGAGGCCACCTGGACGGGGCGTGCGGTGAGCCTGCGGGTGTCCTTCCCTGCTCTGGGGTGCGCCAGACGCAACCGCAACCTCTGACTTGATGTTTTAGGCAAAGCCCCCATGGAAAACTCAAGCTTCTGCTGATCGAGGGCAGCCACCCCAGCTCCCAGCAACGCCCCACTGCCCCCTCCCCCACCGCCATCACCACGCACACACCTGGCCCTCTGTCCCCTTGGCGTGCGTGCCCCCTCTCTCAGCGTTTCTCCTGATACGTGCGCTGCTGGGTTTCCCACCTCTCCGCTTGGAAGCGGTAAACCACAGCCTAGGGAGGAGAGGAGCTGGGGCTGAGTCCTCCAGCACCGCTTTTCTGCTCAAGGATTCTAGGTGGGGAGTGGGGAGGGACCCGAGGGGCCGGCCAGCACCGTGGAGTCCCTCGGAGTCCTAGGCGGGGTCTCCCCACACAAGAAAGGCGCCTCTCCAGCCGAGACTGTGGAAACGCCAGAGGGACCAGACTGAGGGGGCTGGGAAGGGTTAATTGCGGACTCCCCACTTCTCAAGCAAAACCTCACTTCACTTTCACTGCAGGAAGCCTTCCCGGAGTTTGCCTTACAACCTAGGCTGGGTCTCCGAGAGGCGCTGCAGCTGGGCTGGGCCCTGGCTGCTTCTAGGAAGAAGGCAGCTGGCTCTGCTCTGGGGAAGCTGGCCCTTTTTACAAAGACGGGGCCTTGAGAACTGAGTAAATTTCAAGGAGAGAGAGAGAGCAGCCTCCCCCTCCTCCCCAAATAGAATACAAGCATCTTGGCATTAAATGCCAAATGGGAAACCTGCAGAAACCATTTCCCCATTTCTCATTACTGCGTATCCTTTATGGGAATGGAATTCTGTGGCTCTTAGAACTCAGGGAGGCTGTGTGGTATGCTAACTTCTGAAAGCTGCCTGATGAGCTAGAAAGAAATGGTTTCCTGCTTTCTTTCTACAATATGCAGAGAGCTCGCAGTACTGTAGACACACAAGGCAGAAGCATCAGGGAGCATTTTTAAGGGCAAAGTATTACCGATAGACCTGTGGAAGTGGATCCTGGCACAGAGCAGTTTTGGTTTATTAAGTTAAATTAAAAGTGAATTATTTTAAAATGACCTACTTACCAGCTTTGCTCCTGCCACCAGATAACACCATCCTTTCAGTTCATTACAGGTGGAAATGACATTTTTAGGATCCTCCATTATGTGCCTAAGCCACCTCCTGACATCCTTAGTTGACGACTTTTTTTCCCCCCTTATGTATCAGGATATTTCTGTTATGAGGTATTCTTAGATGAAAAAAAGCTGGTAAAAGTACTGGCCTCGCAATTAAATTGACTCTGGATACCAAAGTGAAACTAATCATCTGGTATTAATCAACTTATGTCTCTGCTTCTTGTTGAGGGAAAATAGAGTGACGATATGCTTTCCTTTTCATCTGAAAAGGACTGTAAAATGTTGAATGTTCCATAAAATCTCTCTCCTCTTATGAGACAATTTTTGCTCAATTAATCAAAGTGCATATTTTCACACTGGACATCGTTACATCAGAAAGAAAATTTGCTGCAGCCACTCTAACAATGTTTTGAAACCACCCCTGCAGTAATGACCTTGCACATTCCATCAATCTTTAATAATATCATTGTCATTACTATTATTATCTGAAGTGTTAAATTGTGGCCAAAATCAATACTAGTGTACTTGGTTGAATATATTTTATCCCACTGTTGTTTTTAACATCTTTGTTAAGAGGCCAATTAATTTCCAACTCAGCTCCAGTGAAGTTTGTGGATAAGAAGGCTTCCTGACATATTTGTGGGTGTGTTTTGTTTTTTTGATTTATTTCTCCTTTTAAAAGAAAGAGGAGGGAAGTAAATGACATATGAAATAAATAACTTGATGTTTTAAAGTGATTGAAATTATTTCTAAACTGATGACAGCAAAACTCTGGTGGCAAATCACTGTTGAACTAAATACTCATTTAATTTCTTTTCCTCCACTGAATATCAGGACTGGTTTTTTCATATTCTATCAGAATGTATGGCTAAGCCAGCCCCCCACAGTCACCGAATTAGAGGGATTTTTTGAAGTGGACTATAAAGGCCTTGAGAACAAAACACCTTAATATATTTTTGTGATTGTTTTCTTCTAGATTTGTCGGTGTTAATGCATCTGACATCAACTACTCAGCAGGACGATACGACCCTTCAGTCAAGACCCCCTTCGATGTAGGTTTTGAAGGTGTGGGTGAGGTGGTCGCCTTGGGCCTCTCTGCCAGTGCCAGGTACTCAGTTGGCCAAACTGTGGCTTACATGTCACCGGGCTCTTTTGCTGAGTACACAGTGGTGCCGGCCAGCATTGCCACTCCAGTACCCTCTGCCACACCCGAGTACCTCACCCTGCTGGTAAGTGGTACCACCGCATACATCTGCCTGAAAGAGCTCGGCGGGCTAAAGGAAGGGAAGAAAGTGCTGGTGACAGCAGCGGCTGGGGGGACAGGCCAGTTTGCCGTGCAGCTTGCAAAGAAGGCCGGGTGCCACGTCATTGGAACCTGCTCTTCTGATGAGAAGTCTGCTTTCCTGAAGTCTGTTGGCTGCGATCGTCCCATCAACTATAACACTGAGCACGTGGGTACCGTCCTGAAGCGAGAGTACCCCGGAGGCGTGGATGTGGTCTATGAATCCGTGGGGGGTGCCATGTTTGACTTGGCGATAGATGCCTTGGCCACCAAAGGGCGCCTGATAGTAATTGGGTTTATCTCTGGCTACCAAACTCCTACTGGCCTTTCTCCTGTGAACGCAGGAACATTAACCGCCAAACTGCTGAGGAAATCTGCCAGCATCCAGGGCTTCTTTCTAAACCATTACCTTTCTGAGTACAGAGCATCCATGGACCACTTGGTCAAGATGTGTACCAGTGGAGACCTCGTGTGCCAGGTGGACCTGGGTGACCTGTCCACAGAGGGCAGGTTTACTGGCCTGGAGTCCGTGTTCCGGGCTGTCGATTACATGTACATGGGGAAAAACACGGGGAAGATTGTAGTTGAATTACCTCACCCTGTCAACAGCAAGCTGTAAAAACCGAACAATGGCATAAATCAGAAGAAAAAGGAAGTGGGTACTTGATGCTTCAGAATCACTCAAATCAATTTATTTTCAGTCATTAATGGAGATAATATTTCTTAAAATGAAAGTAAGTTGTTACAACATAGGTTTCTCTTTTTCTTCCCTTTTTTTCTTTTTTTACCCCTCTCTTGAAAAAAAAAAAAAAAGTGCTAATAAAACTTCCCTCCATGGCTCAGAGGTAAAACCTTTACATTCAACCCTTTGGTCATGGACAGTCTCATTCCAGATTTTATTGTTCCTGGGAACTAAATTAATTCCTGATGGGAGAGCTGATCAAATCAGTATGTCTTCAGCTTGATGAGATTTTAAAATTGGTCTTAAAAATAGTTCACAAATTCTTTGCTTTGGGAGAGTTTGGTCTTGGGCTAATGAGTAGTTAATAAGTGAGAGACACCGCAAAATATCAGCACTATTTCCGAGTGCACATTCTGAGGAAATGGCCCTTTGTAGCCTATAAATCACTAGCCAACTATCCAAACAGAAATTTGGAGGGATTCTTCCAAAACTTTGATTTTGTTAGATTATTAGCAAAAATGATCAAGCAAATACAGACCCATCTAAAAGAAGTCAATTGTATTAGAGGCTTTTGTGCCTGCGAGGCACATGTGGAATGGAAAATTTCACTCCTCCCTTAAGCAAATCGGTGCTGAAAACGTACACAGGCAAAAAGCAAGGTTGGGAGAGAGGACAACATATTCGGGGGCTTTAAGAACTTAATACATGTCCAGGAAAGGTGTGTGTCCCATCCACAATGAGGGTCTGCCTAACAGAACATGGGCCACGCAAGGGGAGGCCGCTCTGGGCACACCGTGGGAGGGTCCTCGCAGACGCCGGGGCAGAACAGAGCAGACTGCACGGCGCACAGTCGGGACCAAGATCTACAGCAAGAACACACTGGCTCTGTGTCAGGCTGTCTGGCATGGAAGGTGTGTTTCACCTCTGATCATGGGAACAATAGCAGCCCCTGCTCCTAGTTTTCCGTTTGACTTCTCCCAGGTTCTGGTGGAGTGAGATGCCTCTTGTCCCGGGCATCTGATGTCACACATGAACGTAACGAGTCAAGTGCCTTCTCTTCTGAATCATGCCTGGAGCTGATCCGCCCGCCTGCTAACCTTCAGCTCACCAAAGACGGCTGCAGCCTTCCTTGTGGACTAGGAAATCCCACGGTGCCTCTCTGATCGAAGGCAGAGCCCGCCAGATGATTTCACAGCCCGGGGTTTCCGCATCTCTCACGTGCTAAATAAATAGGAAGACAATTAAAGGCCCAGAAAACTTGGTGACCATATTTAATTTTTCTTGCCTTCCATCTGAGGAGCAAGGGACTGCTACTGCCCCATAGCTGTTTGTATCTGTTTTACAAGATTTACTCATTTTCAGGTACCTAATGTCGCTGCTAGCATGCATGCACAACAATACAATTTATATGGTAAATGGGACCAAATCACGGCTTCACTGAATGTTATGGCTGCACTGAAGGGAAATGTCACGGTAAATAGCTGCCAAATTATGGATCATGCCGAAGTGTCACAACTGCACTAAAGACAAATGGCACTGGAGGCTATTGCCACCGCGGGCCTGTGAGTTATGAGGAAGGGTAGCGGCCTGATGCGAGGCTCTTTGTGTCCTCATTATAGCAGAGGGTTACCGGTGCAGGGGACAAGGGAAGCCGGTCCAGTGCGGGGCTTGGTTATTAATCTGTCCCTTTCAGCCCTAGCGGCTGTGGCAGAACAGAGAGGGACTCAGCCTGGCTTTCAGATACACAAACACACAAGGGAAGGGGACAAGTTTCACGAGCGTAACCACCGGAAATGGCTGGTCACGGAAAACCGTGTCCATCAGACCATCTCATCAGAGCATAGTATTAAATTGAATGCAGTGTGTGTCTGCTGGCTGGGTTGCTCCTTATGCAGGTAGACGTGTGACGTGGGAAATCTAAGCAGAAATGCACTGCTCCCTTTGTGGAGACTTGAGGGGGGAGGACATCGCCAACTAAATTGCTTCTTCTAAACTGAAGTGTGTCCCGGTTTCTTTCATTTTAATGGGAGGGTAATAAAGATGAAAGACCAACATTTTTACTGATGGACCCCTTAAGCTACAGAATAGAAATTTATTGTGTTTTTGAAGGAATACACTAAATTCAGCTATGTAAAAAAAAAAAAAAAAGTATTTTTTTTCAAACACCCAGGTTTGAAATAAAATCTAATCTGAAACCCTCATGTTTTCTCTCTCCCCAAACTAAGGAACCACAGCACAGGCTGTTTGCATTTAATCTCAGGAAACAAGCATGAAAGATTCCGCCCATTCAGATAATGCCAAAAAGATGTTTAAACTTTTTTTTTTATTCTTCTGAAAAATGATTTGTAAATTGAGGGTCATAGTTCAGCACCAGTTTCATCTTCTGGTATTATCATTCAAGACTAGCCTCTAATGGGAGGTGAAGTGGTGCAAAGCTCTCAACACCTTTCTTCTGAACTGTATTACATATCACAAAAGTACATCCATAATTCAGGGCAATTGTCAGTCTTTGTTTTAGAGACAGGGCTGGGGCTGGGCGACCGCGCTGGATGAATTATTCCTTGGTTCTCAGGGTGGCCTCTTTGCACGTCTGCCTGGAGGTCTGGGGCTGGGCAGATGGAGGATTTGCCTCTGGTTAGTGCACAGAGAGGAGGGATTCTCATCCCTCACCATCCCCTCGATTTCACATTGGTTTAGCATGCAAACACTACAACGGTGTCATTTCAATCCCTCTGACGGTGACTTCTGCTGTTGACTGATTTCAGCATTTAAAGAAATTGGAATAGTTTACAAAACAACACAAGTTTTGCATGATCTGTTCGATAAATTGTTATTCTGTGATTGCATCTGAGTGGGGTTTCTCAGGAGCAGGACCGAGTTCTGTAAGTGGAATTACGCTCAGTATTTATCTAATGAAAGTGCGGCGACAAGTAGCTGCTTGTGATTAAAATGAAAATCCCGCGTTATGTACTTAAGGAACATTCCTGCTAATGAGGATGTAATGCCCTCACACAACACAGCCCTTCGTTCTGTGTTCACGGCCACAAGATGCTGGAAACTTGACAGATGATGTCATTTAAGACACATGCCTGCCGTAGGGACCTGCTTTTTGGCTTCCTGTTTCTGGCTTTTATTTGGTTAACATTTCTAATGGCCACCTGACTGGTAGTGGGTAATGTTTTAACCCCTTTGTAGAATTCCCAATTAGTCCAAATTTACTACATTTGGGGCCTTCAGAATGGGGCAGGGAGTGTCAGTGCTGAGAATATTTTTTGTGATCACTTTACCACAAGGACATATGGGATAAATACCATCTTTTAGATTTATATAAAAACAGATGAGCACTGTGCGACTTCCAGAAAATATATGATACAGAAAGAGCAAACACAATCAACGGTGGGGGATCATTTCCTCCGGGTTCCAATACAAGTTTTATGAATGTGACCCAGATGCGAAATGGCCTGATTTGATAGACTTGTAATTACTGTTCCCTATACTTTCCACTCTCTTGTTTTATTAAATAACATTTGTTATTTATGGTACTTATTTAAAGACACAAAATTTATCTATGAAAACATGGCTAGTTAATTTGGGGGGCTTTTAGAGCACTGTGTTTTTTTTTTAAATTAGATTTTCTGTAACTAATTTTTTTTAGTTATGGCCCAGAATTAAAGATTTAGCATCATCTTTCAGAAGTCAAAACGCAAAACTCGGGGTTATCAATGTTGTTGGGCATTTTTTGACTTTGAATTGTTTTCCAAAACCTTTATCATTATGTTATTTCAACTTATAAAAGGAGGAGGGTTTGATATGAGAACTGTATTGCTGTTATCATGAGCGAAGTATGGGACATTGGCAAAAATTATTTTTAAAATGCTAAACAAAGTACATAATGAATATTTGACCGACATGTTTTAGTTCACATAACTCTTGACCTTAGAATTCATTGATATTCAAAGAACGCCAGACAAGGTGCATATTTCAGTTACGCGTGCTTGCGTGTTCTCTATCAGTCAGTCCTTCACTGGGTCTGAGTGGCTGGTGAGATGCAACAGACAAACCGTGGCCTGGGATCCACACCATCCTAAGCATCTACTGTTGACACCGGATGTGCCCACAGCACGGCTGCCCCGCTGTGCTGGCTCAGAGCATCCTGGAGGCACAGCCCCTCAGTCCCTCAAGCAGTAGGGTGAGGACTGCATGGGGTATAGTTTGGGGAAACTAGCAAGTGCCTCATGCGCCTGGGGAGCCCTGAGCCAAAAGTGCAGAGGCTCCAACGGCCCCCCAAAGGAAGCCTTTCCCTTGAAGGGCACTATCTGACATTGTCTTTCTGCCAACATGAAATTAAAGTAATAATTAAAACACACCCTGCTGACTGGTGGTGGCATCCAACACAAAAAAACGGAGCTGTGCTTAGAGCTCAGGAAAACGTCCCGTAAAATTGCCAGCTACTATCGTGCGTTACCCCCTCCACATACACAGCTCAGCCGCCTCAGGGTGACTTGGACGACCAGCTTCCTTGGTCAGTGGGAGTCGAGGAGCATGCTTAGGGAATGAAGGGGGTCCCATTAAGGTCCCTTGCTTTGCCCTCTGCCGCACCTGGGTGATCAGCCAGCAGAAAACTAGACCTGGAAACAGCCGGGGTGCTCTGTCCTTCCTAAAGGAGAAGACGCAGGTGTCCTTTAAAAGGTAAAATTTGGGATATAAGGGCCATCTAGTTCTGCCCATTTTGTTGAGACAGAAGCCGAGACTAGGAAGAACAGGTACCTTGTCCAAGGTCACTGGACCCAGAAATGGAGCTGGAGCGCAGATGTCCCCAGTGCCAGGCCATCTTTGTAGGACGCCCTTTATAATCCGCCAAGCTCCCTCGGCATGTGCCTGAGTAAAAGTGTCACAGAATAACAATTGGCCTTTATTACAAAGATTTTTGTGGATGAGATGATGACCAACCCAGGAAGAATATCACAGTTCTGACCTCAAAAGTGTGTTCCACTAGGGACCCCCTTTAATCCAACACAAGGGTCGAGAGCATTGGATTCTGTCATCTAAACATCACACAACATTTGGGGAGTCGGGGGAGAGAGAAGTAACTCAGTGGAATTAATGTCTGAATGCGCACAATTTAATTTTAATGCTACAAAGAAGGTCTCCTTGCCTATCAAGGGGTGTCAAATAATGAAAATCAAATCAAGAAAAGCTTTATTTTCATGTATTGGTGTGTTTTTTTCTAGAGTGGCTATAGCTGCTTCTATTATCACCTCTAGAAAGCTGATAACGTTTGACCATCATATTGTTAACAGCAAACTAGCTAGAATCTGAATTTGCTCCCCTGAAATGGAATTCTGAGTCCCGCTGACTCGGGGCTGTGATCGGTGGATGGATGCGTTCTTGGCAGTGGGGAGCGCAGGAAGGTGAGGGGGTGTGTCTGGGGAGAGGCACGCTGGGTCCCGCATTTCATGCTCACGTGTGGCAGAATCTCATGTTCTGTACAAATGACAGGTCATAATTAAGACTCAGAAACAAGCCCTTCAGAACCACACAGCATTGAACATTCACGTCTTTCTACATCACTTCTGTCTTCCTTGAACGCATGCATAACAAGCGTAAACTTTCGACTTCACACGAACAAATCCTTTCCCAATAGAAACAGCTTCCCTTAACATTGAAAAACCCTTCCCGGGAACGGCAGCAGTGACAAGGCAATCTCGTTCTGTACAAAACCTCATTTCTCACCGGGGACCGGACGGGATAGCGGGCCCTCGCTACGTTGTCCGAATTTACATTTGGAAATTGAATTGTCTCCTTGAGGGTTTTTTACTCAAAGTAACTTTTGGAGAATTCCTTACATCGGGCACATCCAGGTAATTGGAATGAGACAGAGCTGGAGGAGCCCCCTGTCCCAGCTCATTCTCTGATCAGTAGAATTAAAAGGGCTATCATTGTCATTATTGAAGAATATTTATCGTCTCAACTTTTACACATGCTTTATGTAACACCTTGGAACTGATGAATTTGATGTATTAGCATACAGTGTCACTAATTTCACCTCTGCACTATTAAATAGAAAAAGACTGTTGATTTCCATTCTAGAGATGGGACTTCGTATTGAAATAAAGTACAGGAAATGACTCCCTGGATTGCTGAGCCCCTCGTCACGCAGAGATGGGGTCCATGGACAGTTCTCAGACCGAGGCTGTTTGCACTGGGGCGGAGCTTCTCCGACGTCATGGCTCCCACGCAGCCCCTGCTGCAACATAGGGCCCGGCGCGGCAGGTCCACAGCGGGGCCTGGGAACCTGCATTTCCCAGGCAATGCCCAGGCTGCTGGTCTGCAGACTGGACTTTGAGTAGCAGGAGCTGGATCAGAGCCTTTGAAAGACTCCCATCTTGCAAAATGCTGTTTTACTCTAAGGCGTTTCTGAGCCGCCTGGAGGCTCCCTCTGTATGAATTTCCAAAACCAGCGCGTAGTTGCCTTTTATCATCACAATGTCAACTTCTTTAAAAGGACCGTCCATGGGCTGTCGGGTACTATGGTGGAAACTGTTTCCACACAGTCCTCCTGGGGCAGGAAGGACGTTCCCAAGGGGTACAAGGTGTACCCTAGGGCGACTCAACTCAGGTGACCCCAGACGCCCTTTAACTACAGGCAGATCATGGAAGGACCGGAAACTGCTGGGTTCCTCCCACAGAGCTGGCATGCTGCTCCTGGGAGTCAGAGGACCTGAGATCGAGTCCCCTTTCCCAGGATGGGCACCGCAACACCAGGGAGACTTGGGACCCACGGGAGCCCAGATTGCTTCTTTGTCTCTTTTCTGTCATCCTCTGTGGGGGGGCTAGAACCACACTGTCCAGAGCAAGGGAAGCACCTGGGGGAATGTCCCAGCCACGTACTAACGCGCCAGTCCCTTCCCCTCTTTGCCTTTGGGATGACAGAGGCACAGAGGAGACTGGAGACGGTGTGGTCGGAGGTGTTCCCAAAAGGAGTGGAGACTGCTCCCCACACCGTGAAGCCAGACCGTCGGTTATGGCCCTGTGGCCTCAAGAGACGTGAGATTAGAAAAATGAGAGGAAACACGTGAAGCAGACAGCAAAGTCTTGACATTCATTACCCCTGTGATCCTTCCCACCCAGAAGTAAAAGAACCTAAGTTTTCTTTTTAAGTATAACACAACTAGTCTATGACGGGTGCACGGTGGATCTTTATTACGCCCACAACAAGTATACAGAGTAGTGGATGCGCATATTACCCTAAAAAGTTAGGATGCTTTGGGGTGCCAAGTGTCAGAAAGTCCAACGGAAACTGGCTTAAACATTAAGGAGAGTCACGTACATGGCAAGTTCGGAGGGAGGGCAGGCTTCAGGCGCAGGTTCATCAGGGATCCAGCTCCACTTCTCTGGGACCCTCTTCTCAGACTGCTCATCAGATGGCTGCTGGCAGGAGCAGGCTGTACTCTCACTCCGACCACACCCCGCCCACCAGCTCTCCAACAAAAGGCCTCCCCTTATGCTGGATCAGGTCAAGGGACCCTGTAACTGTGTCAAGAAGAGTATCCAAACCGCTAGAAACGAGTGGTCCTGTTCAGGAGGGGCAGGATGGATCCTGGGGAGGCAAACTGCTCATTGCCCCATGGAATCAGTTCTGGTCAACTGTGAGAAGGCGGGAGCCCCTGTTAGGTGGCGGGGGGTCCTCATGAACACCCTTGGGCTCCTTGAAGCCAGGGACGGAGTATGTCATGGGGTCTCCACACCTAGGAGCACGTCAGGCGTTTAATAAAGGTATGTGTGTATATTGCCCTGAGCCCAAGCCAGGCTGATGCTGGGTCCCTGCATGAGGAACCTCAGCACAGAGCCCAAGAGCCCTCACCCTCCCATTTCCTGGGTGCTGGAAGGTCCTGAGTGCACCTGACCCTGAGGAGGGAGCAGCTGGCTGCTGGGCGAGGCCATAGCAGGGGTCACCCAAAGGACAGCTCAATACCCCCAGTTTTCTAAAAAACAAAAAAACAACAACCCACTTAGAGCAAATGAAGGATGGGTCATTTTGCAACCACAGAAAGAATGGAGTTGTGTGTGTTAGTGTTAGTGTGTATCTGTGTGTCCGTGTGTCTGTGTGTGTGTGTACCCATGTGCCTGTGTATCTGTGTGCGTGTTTGTATGTGAGTGTGTGTATGTGTGTGTTTGATGGCAGACGTGAGGCCCTATACCCTGTGTATTCACCTTGTCCAAGCCTGTGAAGGCAGGGTCATTGATAGCAGCGCCCTCCACCCAAGCACTATGTGCGGGGCTGTTGCTGGCAGGAGCCTCCCTCCATTCCATCCTGCTGGCCCTCGCCCTCTCTGTCAACACTCAACTCTCGTCCACAGCAACCTGTCCAGGCTGCCAGGCTGCAAAGACGGTAGCATTATTTGTCAACACTTCCGGAGGCCTGGGCCACCTGCTCATTCTCAACTGACATCTTTGGGTGTTCAGTTAAAATGGACCCGGGTGCTCGGTGCACAGGCAGGCTCCCTCGAGTGAGGACTCCACGTGGAGTGGGAGCCCTGCA